CCAGACCTGAAGGAGCTGGATGCACCCGGTGAATCTTCCTCCGCCCGTTCTTCGGCAATGGTTGAGCGATCGAAAGGTCTCGGCCAAGATGGCTGGTGCTGGGTTAACTCGTTTAGAAAGTTGCTCAAATAGTTCCACCACGGCAGCGTCAATGCACCCCAAAGCCTTCAGAAATATGATCAAACCGTACAGACCCAGTGCAAAAAGGTCTATAGTCTTCCATTCATCAGGGTGGTTTTTCATTAGTTGCTTTATATGGATCCACTCGATTCCTTCCCCGCTACCTTTGTGCCGGAGTCGATCAGTCACCCACTTTTCATCAACCCCTGCAATCTTGGCCAGTCCGTTCTTGAAGGGCTGACTCTTGATATGTTTAATATATGCCCTCTCTAGTTTGATGCTTTCGCAGTGCAGTAGAGTAGTATACTCTTCGATAGTAGGCACCATGTCTTCCTGGTTAAAGGTGAAACAACTATATCCAGGGTTCCAGAATTGAATTAATGCTCGGAGTAAGGGCTCATCAGCCTTGAAATGGAGCAAGAGGGCGATATCACCATATCGTTGACTGAACTTCTGCTTTCTGTCATTCTTCCAACTGTCCCAAATGTTTCGCAGCTCTTGGACATTATTCTGTTTCAGGCTGACAGCGGCATAACTAACCAGTTCTGACACATAGTTTCCCTGAAGACTGTCTCCCTTCTCTTTCTGAGCCTTCTCGGACCATAGTCGTGCCTCAGCGTTTTCAATCTCTTGTATTACAACACCTTTGTCCATTAATTCGAATTATTTTGTGTATAACAAACGCTTTTTAGGGATCAATAGCCTCTTGTAATGATGCAAATGCTAGAAAACAAACGCAAAGGCAAAAACGTTAGTAAAATAAAAATACAAAATAAAAAAATGACGGAAGGGGAAAAAAACATGGTCAGGGTAAAAATATCCTAAGTTTTGGAACGTGGTTTAGGGGTAGGCTCTAATTCTTCATGGTCTCCCGGTTTAGGTTTAAAAAAACGGTACCCGAGTTCTCCTTGTCGGTGCCCCCTTGGGCTTGCCAGACCCTTAGTCCTAAAACCCATCACAGGCTTGTGTGGACTAAGTTAAACTCGAGGGGACACATTCCCTTATGCCTGCACGGTGAATAAATTCACACGAAGACATAAGATATATGAATCCCGAAGGCTACTTGCTAGGCCCGCACGGTGAATAAATTCACACGAAGGCGTCGCTTTCACCCCCACTTAAAATAGGAATTGGAGCTCGGGTATAGAGCCTTAGATGAAAAAAAAAACTTTGAAGTCTGAAATCATGAGAAAACGATTAGTCCAACTATTTACTCGAAAATATAATCAAAAGTAAGTAAAAAGGATCGAAATATTACCTTAAAATTTAAACTTACCATTGTCGTCAAAAAGACAACTGGAAATTACCGTAGCCTGACTCACTTACCTGTTCCCAGTGGAGTCGCCAAGCTGTCGCAACCGTATTTCGGTTGGGCCCCGGGATTGGGCTTCGACTTGAAAAATGTGGATTGGAGTCGCCACCAATCATTTATTTAAAAATAAATGGGTTGATCGGATACCCTATTTCTTACCTGATCTGCGTTTTACCAAAGATGTGTCAGATTCGGGAGTCGGTTACAGTTAAGGAAGGGTTAGCACCCCTGAACTGCCCTTTCGGTACTACGTAATTTCCAGTTGTCTTTGGTTAAGAAAAAAATGTAAATTTAAATTAAGAGGTAAAATAGCGATCTCGGCTACTTACAATTGATTGATTTGAAAATGAACCCTTTAAGAGTCAAAATATGTATTAGAAAAGGCGATGAAAATAAATTAAAATTGAAAAATAAAGAAAACGAAATGAAGAACAAAATAACAATAAATGATACACTAAAGGTAACATAATCAACATGGAGATATAGAACATGAAGGAAATAAGAATGAAGACAAGTATGACAACATATGATAAGGTAAAAAAATGCAAGGATGAAGAAATAAGAGAATAAGACACAATAAAATGGAAAAAGAAAAAAAAAATAGGGAAAGCATAATAAAAGTGAAATAAAATAATATACAAATGTAAAATAATGAGAGTTAGATAAAATGTACATATGTACATATATAAAAAAATGTAAAATAATAGCGTATAAAGTAGAATAAATAAAATTAATAAGAACATATAAGAATATCAATACCATATATATATAATAGCTAAATATGAGAGGGAGGAAAAAATATATATAATAATAATAGAAAAATTATAAAAAAAATGTAAAATAATAGCGTATAAAGTAAAATAAATAAAGTTAGTAAAAACATATAATAATATTAACACCATATATATATAATAGCTAAATATGAGAGGGAGGAAAAAAAATATGTATATAATAATAGAAAAAAACTAAATAATGAAGATAAATATAATAATAAAAAAAAGTAAAGAAATAATAGGATAAAATGCAAGATGTATACATACATATATATATATATATATATATATATAATATAACATATGAGTAGAATAATAATATCCTAATAATACATATATATACGAATGTAATAAAAAACTAATAATAATATAAAATATATAAATAATATAATGTAATATAAAAAATAATTAAAATTAAAATCCCGAAAAAGGATTAAATTGAAAGAATTACAAGCTAGAGGTCAAAATTCCAAAGCAATATTAAGGGTTAATTTCGATTTGGGGGGGGGAAACGACTCTTTTAAAGGTAACGAGGGATCAAAAGGGTAGTTTACCCTATTTTAGACAGTAACACGCGGATGTTTTAAGTATAAAACTCAAAATTTTCTTCAAAATACTCATTTCTCTCTTCTCCAAGCCGAGGACACCCCCCTCTCTAAACATTTCTCTGAAATGTTCTTCGCTTGAAGAACAAGGGTCACATTTTCTGGAAACCGGTCTCCAGCGCCGCCTCGCTGCCGTCGTTGAACGGCGCCGGCCGTCGTTCATCGGCGACGAATCTAAAAAAAATGTATTTTTATAAACTATTTTTTTACCCACAACTCAAAAATCTAAACGTTTTTTCAAAACTAGCCTCGTAGGACTGCGGATCTAGAAAAGAAGATCCGAAACTCCCTTTTTGTTCCTCGGCTAAAAACGTTTTTTTTTTGGGTCCGATCTGAACCAAAAGCGACGGAAAACAACATGCAAGGGAGTCGGAGAAAAGAACAAGGTAAAAAAAACTACCTCCTTTATTTCCTTCTCGAAATATTCTATAAGTGCTTGGACCTTCTTTTTGGTTGCTATTGTGAATTTCTCTGCCTATTTTTTTCCTCCCCTTTTGGGTTCTGATTACATATATTTATAGGAATAAAAAATCCTATTTTTAGGTATTTACAACCGAATAAAACACTAATGCAATCTGTTTGTGTTTGTTGGTGACGAATGGGTTTCGTTCGCCGGGTGCTTCGGAGCTGTTGGCGTTGACGGGGACATTGGATCCGTGAAGTGCGGCTGAGGAAGACGTGATGGACCAGGGGACTTCGGGGGCTTCTGGATGAGATGCAAGAAGCGACGACGTGCTAGGGTTTTCTAGAAACCCTGATTTTTAGAACGGTTCTTGGGTCCCTATTGTAGGGCTTGTGATTTGGGCCATTATTGTTGGGCCTGTAACAGAAATCCAAGGATTAATAATTTATAATATGATATTATATATATGTATGTATTATGATGGGCGGATTTTAGTGTCTTCAATACGTAAATAAAAATATTGTTCAGACTTTTCAAAACTCAAATTTTTTAAACTTTGATCACAATTATTTTAAATATTTTAAAAAATTAAATTTTATAAGATATATTTTAAAACTATTTGATTGAAGGTTTTTAAAATATTTTTTAATATTTTTATCAATAATAAATTTTAAATAATAAATATTCAAAATTAAAAAAATACCAAAAAATTTAATAATAGACATTTTAAGTGGGATCAAGGTAATAATGTTTTATAAACTGTTTAATAAATAATCACATGTTTTATAAATTGTTTAATAAATAGTCATGTGTAATTTAAAATAGTTTGCAAAGAAAAGTCTCTTTATTAATAATTTTTAAAGTTCAAATATACATTCATTAAAAATAAATGGACACAAAATCATATAAGATTCTTCAAACCTATGAGATTACTTGATAAATCATTACATATCTAAATCCAAACAAAATCCAAAAGTTGCAAGTTAAAAAAAACTAACGCTCAATCACGCAAAATTGGTTATATTTAAATGGAAATTGAATTATAAAATACTAGTTACTATAAATGCAATTCTTCCTTTAGAATATTTATTTAGAATACTAATAATAAAAACAATAGTTAAATTAAGTGTTTAGCACCTAAATTATCATTTTTGATTCGTTTTAGTACCTAAGCTTTTAATTTTTTTAAATCATATCTAAAATTTAGTTTTTATTTCATGTTGGTACCCGCCGTTAAAAAAATTAATTTTTGTTTCATTTTAGTACTTCCGTTCAAAATTTGACATTAAGTTTAAAAATGAAGATTTAAGTACTAAAATAGATCAAAAATAATAGTTTAAGTATTAAACGTGTTAAGTTTTTAATGATGTGATATTAAAATGAAATTGGAACTAAACATTAGATATGATTTAAAAAAAATAAAAGTTTAAATATTAAAATAAACTAAAATTAATAGTTTAGATACTAAACACGTAATTTACCCTAAAAATCTATAAACGAGATAAAAACAAAATAAGTGTTTTATTTTTTAATTTTTATATCTACAATAATTGCCCCTCATCTTAAATCATGAATTAGCATTTGAACCGTCCATTTAAAAAATGCTTTAATGGTGCTATCTAGCAAAATACATGTATATTGGCAACCAGAAGTGCGGTGGCTCATCCCTTACAGAAGTCAAAATTATTGGAATAAAATACAGAGGAAAAGAAAGCCCTCATCAATCACGCAAGGAATCCAATACCTCGCTGACACTGTATATTTATTAGCTTCAAGCCCACCCCTTTTACCAAACAACTCAGCTTCCTTATTCCTCTATACCAACAAAATTACACCTTCTGCAAATTCATTAACAACAATGGCCAATGTAAGCACCTTCTTTTTTATCTGTTTGTTTTAGGTTGCTAAACAAAGGTTCCAATATTTGTATAGGTGGTGGAACTGAAAGTGGGTTACATTGTGACGAGTGTATCAAGAAAATCCTCAAGGCTATCAAGAAAAATAGAGGGTAATTCTTCTTCTTTTACATGCCTGCCATGATTTTTAATTTTCTCGGGAAAATTTGATTATTTTTATGTTAACGGGAGGCAGATATTGAAACATATAACGTAGATACTAAGCTGAACAAGGTTATCGTCACGGGCAATGTTACCAACGATGAAGTCATCCGAGTTCTTCAGAAAATTGGCAAACAAGCCACCACTTGGGGCTCTGATTAATTAACAACATAGATATTTTTTTTTGCTTCAATTTCAATGTAAAATCTGGAATAAACAAATCATATTATATCCAAGTATTTCTAGTTCCTTTTTCGGAATTTGGGTGAAGTTAATTTCGTTTATTACATAATTAAATTTTTACAATCTAAAGGGGAGATCTCTGTACATAGAATATTACAAACGGAAAATAAGACGAGAAAAACCAGTTTTAAAAAAAAAAAGCTTAAAAATGGCCGTTGCAGACCCGGCGAGACCTCCCATCTCAACTCAGCACGAGTCGATTTACCTTGGTTGGTGAATGGTCCGTGGAATCACTTTCACATTCACAATCTTGGGTGCTTTCTCAATAAACCTAGGCGGCTCAGTCACAACTCGGTCCTTCCTCCACTTCTGTACTCCAACTGCTACTAGTTTCTTCTGATTATCTCCCTCCTTTTCCTCCGCTGCCAAAAAATAAAAGGATTAAAAAGTTAGATCCGAGTGATATTTAATTGACTCGTGGAATCGAGGTGAGTCGAATGAGTCAGTTACGTCTAGGGTCGATGAAACCGTCATCGTATTGGACAAAGATGTCATCGAGGTCGTCGGGGAAGAGTAGATCGTCAACGTCGTCATTTTGGGGGTCGTGGAAGCGTTCCTGGAGCCAGTAGTCGCGGAAACAAGGAGACGATTGGACGAGAGCCCACCACTGATCGGAGAAATCCTCAACCGTTCGATATGCCAATGGAACGAACACTGGAGCGTGGGGATTCAAAGTTGAGGACACAGATCGCTGCAAAAGAACCTCCATTTTTTCCACTAAAAGTATAATCAGTAAATCAGGAGAAAGAAAGTGCTTCGAAAAGATAAGGATAAGATCAACACCCAGTACATTCACTGAATATATAACGGGGTGTTTACTAAATAGACATGGCTAACTGTATTATTACATTCATGACACTAGATTTTTATATTTTACTCCGTTTTTTATTGTTTGGGTTAATTTATGTTGACGGCCCCTATACTTTAGCAAATTGTGAGATTGAGACAATGTACTTAAAAACTAAAAATTATACATTATATTAGTCTTTATGAGTTAAAAACTGTAACCTAATCATTGACATGTTAATATTTTATAAATAAAGCATCACAAGGTTGAAAACAAAATATATATCAATGTCAATGATCGGATTACAAATTTAAATAATAGTAGACAAATTTAATGTTTAAAGTTTTAAATATAAAAATTAAATTTCAAATTTTACCCGTGTATAGAGACTAAAAATTAAAGGTAGGTAAATGTTTGATTTGAAAAAGTTGAAACCAGAACCGCCTGAGCAAGAACCTTTTTTAAAGCAAAAAGCCAAAAAATGTTAAAGAAGGTGGAATGCGTGGCATGTGAGGAGGGCAATAATGGAATCATACAAGATTGAAACGTCCCCAAGGAAAAGAATGAAAAAGGGAAGCTTGGTTGTTGGAGGTAGTTCTACTGTACGGTTGTTTTAACATACAGTTAAAAAAAATTATTGAAATTATTAATATTTTTTAATATTTTTGATAAAATGTTATTTAAATTTTTATTTTTTTACCGGAAATTTGACGTGAGATGAATCTTCCGAAGCTCAAAAAAAAAAAAAAAACTTTTCCTTCGGAAAGAAACCAACAGCTAAGGTTGTTGGTGTATGAAACTTGCTCTGGTATATTGCCCATGGTTTTGCTTTTGCTTTTAGCAAAATCGGCTGAACCAAACCTGGATCTGGAGAATAATGAGATTGGTTAAATTTAATTTATTTGGTGAGTCCAACAGTTAAGAGAAGTCTTATTTTCTTCTAAAATCTTAGATTCAAACAAATAGTCAGAAGAATATATACATTGTCAATAATAAAGAATATAATTTTAAACATATATTAATTTATAAACACCTTAAATTAAATTAAATTTAAGGATAAATTATATTTAATGTCACTTAATTATGAATTTAATAATAATTTTTTCCTTCAAAAGTTATAAACAAGTTACTAAATTAAAATATTATTACCGGCATATCACCATGTCACTAAAGTTGTGTTAATTTGATTTTATATAATAAATGTTTAGTCCTCCAAAAAGGAGTTTTGTGTGATAAAAATGTGCTTCTAAAACTTAAGGAAAAATTTTATAGAATGACAATAAGACCAACGTTGTTATATGGATCAGAATGTTGGGCAATTAAGAAAGATCACGTAAGGAGGATGGAGGCCGCAGAGATGAGAATGCTTCGATGGGCATGTGGTAGGACTCTGTGGGATATGACACCAAACTCTGCTATTAGAATGTCCTTGGGGGTGGTGCTTGTATCTGAAAAATTGAGGGAGGGAAGACTACGGTGTTTTGGGCATGTCCTTTGGCGACAACCGTCGGATGCGGTCAGGAGGGTAGAGTCTATTACAGTCGACGGTGCCAGAAAGAGAGGACGACAAAGGCGGAAGTGGGAAGATTGCTTGAGATCTGATTTGAAGGATTTAGCCCTTACCGAGGACATGACCTCTGATAGGAAAGTATGGGGACTTAAGACCAGGGTAGCCGAGTAGTGCAGGTCACATCTATAGGGTGTATCATCTTTGTCTTCTTTTAATGTCTTTGTAGTAATTCCCTTGACTTCTACTTTCTAAACGTTGCTGTCATTGGAATTTATGAAGGCTTAGAACTAGGGTAGCGGAGTAGTGTTGCCGTAGTTTAGGTTTTAACCCATTTAACTTTATTTTTTATCATTGCTTGCTATCGTTGACTTCTGTGTATCCTTCTCTTCATGTTTTATCATTTTAAATTTAATCGGGTCTTACGTTTCTATCTATATGCATAAATTTTTTTTCCGTAGGGATTTATTTGCAGGGATTACTTCCCATTACATACGCGCATATGAAGACTGCATATGAAGACTGTTCAACTATGTATTTATATATATATATATATATATATATATATATATATATTTATATTTATACATACATTGCATTTTATCTCCATTTTTAATTTTATGACTGTCGGAGGTCTTCCACAGAAGCTGCTCTCAAACTGGCGTTGGGGGCAGCCTACTACCCTACCTCCTCCTTACCCCATTACATATGGGAATAGGGTTTTGTTGTTGTTGTTGTTAGTCCTCCAAATTTATACATTTTATCAATTTGTTTTAATTTAAAATAATTCAACAAATTAGTAGTTACATAATTACATTCTAACATTAATTTTTAATAAACTATGGTTGAGTTATTGTTATATCAAGAAAGTAACAGAAATTAATATAATGTTTATGAGAGAAGAACATGTAATTTAGAATAAGAAAAAAATTAAAACAATAAAAATTTAGATATAGATAGTTAGATTTATTAAATTATTTTGAATAGGACTAAATTAATGGATCGATAAACTTCAAGGACAAAAATCATTATTTTATCAAGTCATATTTTAACTGATTGATATATTTGTAAATTTTAAAACGGAAAATTACATATTTATTATTAAACTCATAATTAAGTGACCTCTTGTGTAATTTAGTCTTAACTTGTTAGATTTTGGTTTTAGATATTATTGTATCTCATCATAAAATTTTACCATGTCTCAATTTTAATATACAGTAAACAAAAAACGTTATCGATTTTATTATTATTTTTTTTAATATTTTTTGTAAAAAATTATTGAAAAAATTATTTTTTTTACTTAAAACATTAATGTTTTTAACATTTTCGGTAAAGTGTCCAATAATAACAAAATCGATGAAAAAAAATTTAGGTAACGTTTTACGAGATATGTTAACAAAATCAATAAAGTGCTCAATAATAATAAAATCGATAGAAATAAAAATATTTTTAATAATTTTTTGTTAAAAATATTAAAAAAATAATAACAAAATTATATTTTTTTAATCGTATATTAAAACTGCCACGTAAGACTCCCTCATTCTCATCACTTTGTCCGATGATTTGTTTGGGTACTCCTATCAAATTGTAGAGATTTGTCCTTAGTTGTCTCATACGTGGAATTAAGAGAAATACGTTTTCAACGGCATATCACAACCCTTCAGATATTCAAATTCTATTTAAATCCCTTTTAAATTTTGAAAATTTTCATTCAATATATAATAAAATTATTTTAGTTTAATATAAATTTAAAATTGAACTTTTAAAAATTATTTTATTAAATTAACACTGAAGATACTAATATTTTATTATTATTATTATTATTATTATTATTATTATTATTAAATATATTAAATACATATATAAATAAATATTACAAGCCCGAATGGAAGCCCAATTACAAACAGTGGCCCAGACCCAAAATCCTACAGTAAACCCTAAACCCAATTTAGGGTTTGTATCATCCTCAGCCGCCATCTTCAATTCCAGCCGTTGGATATGGTTTGATCCAACGGTCCACCATTTGCCAGAAGAAACCCTAGGGTATCTATACCCTAGGGACACGTCCCAGCGCCGCCGCTGTTGGTTCCAGAAGCTTTCACCGCCACACCCACTCCAGCCGCACACGTCTTGCCCAAAATGGTGAGTCACCACTGGAAGTCCGGTGACTCACCGAAGAACCTCTTTCGGACCGGTCTGAGACGAACACCGGTGGTGGCTATAAAAGCCACCACCCATCTGCGAAAAAAAAGAAGAGAAGAAGACAGAAACCAGAGAGACAAAAACAGAGACAGAACCGGAGAGAAAGGAAAAAACAGAGAAAGAAAAAAAAACAACAACAACTACCAACGATCCCAGTCCACAACAACAGAGCAAAAATAGAAGGAAAAAGAGAGGAGAGAAGCTTACCAAGGAAGCCTTGACCACCACCGGAAGCATTAAACATCGCCGGAGAACCAAAAATACCGAAGGTATTTTCATAGATTTACTCCGATTAGGAGTCTTTTTGGGGAAACAAAAGTTGGATTCGGTCTTAGGGTGTCTAGATCTATGTTTTAGGTGAATTTGGGGAATTTCCGACCACC